GAATTCGTTGACACTCCCTTTTATTATTATATACAATTAGCTGCGCACATGGTACTGTTAATATAATGACATCGACCTCCACTTCCATTCAGAATCTCCCTCACTCTCTCATCTATCCCGCCCTCTCCCCTCTCCTCCGCCTGCATCATACACTCCTCCAGAACATGCTCCCGATCCTCCATTTTCCAGTTATACCTCCGGCATCTTCTTTTTTCTTCGTTTCCCCAGTACTTTCCCGTCCTCATTTAATTCCCTATCCCAAACCTCGCTATTATCACCCAATCTTTATCCCTCCTTTCTTCTCCCAAATATTCTGGTATCCCCTCCCCCTTTATTCACTTATACCATCTGTTGTACCTCTTTTGGGCTCATCCCTCTCTCTGTCATGAAACTCCTTCTTTCTTCCTCTCATCTCGACCCCCCCTGTCCTCCTCTTTCATCTATTTCTTGCAAATATGCTCTCGCCCATACGCTTCCTCTCACCCTTCTCAGTTTTTCTTCATAATTCCACATTCTCCTTGCCCCTCTCAACCACAATCTATCTCTCCCTCCTTCTTCTCTTACCACGTATCCTGGAGTATACCAATTAATCTCTAAAACCTATCTCATATATGAGCCGTTCACTGCACACAAATGGTGCCGAGCCTATAAGTGGAAACCGTAGAAGTAAAACAGAGAAAGAGAATGATACGGGCCCTCTGTGTCCTTATCTAACTGTGTTTGCTCCGCCTACCTTTCTGTGTGTGTGTGTGTGTGTACATTACAGCCGAAATGTGGGCGGAACAAACAGAGGTTAGACAATGATACAGAGAGGGCCCGTATCATTCTCTTTCTCTGTTTTTCTCTTATCACTTGTTTGGACTGCTTGCGCGGTCTATTCTTATATGTCTATGGAAAAATCCCTCATGCAGGTAGTGGAGACTATACTCGCAGTCCTGAGAGCAGAGCTGCCAGAAAAGTGTATCCTATCGTGTCCCATACCCCCTCCACTAGCAACTTGGCTCCATTCCCCTCTCGCGATGCCATAGTGGTGACAGCGTGACGTTTCTCTCTGCTGAACATTTCCTATCCCTGTCAGTCCCATATTTCCAGTCCTTGTCTTGTACAGGAAACAGGGACTTAAGCAAATGCCTAAAGGTCTAGCCCCACTGATGACACGACAACGACATTTTGAGTTTTTTGAGGTGGTGGGGCGGCCGAGCCAGTACACGTAGCCAGTACGGTACGGGCACGGCCGCCCCACCACCTCAAAAAATCCAAATTGTCGTTGTCGTGTCGTTGTCGTGTCGTCAGTGGGATTAGACCTTAAGGAGGTTCGGGGGTTTTATAAAAACGTAGAGATCAGCATGAAAAATATGTTTCTTTATTGCATAACAAAACCAAAATAATTTTTTCGAATTTTTCGTCCACGTTATATTGGAGAAAAACGCTTTTGAAATTTGCTCATTTTACACGGTTTCTTATGGGATACAAATATTCTGACTGTTCAAAATAGAAAATCAAGTTGAAAATACGTAGAGAATCGAAACTTATTAATATATATTGATAGAAAAAATAAACAGGAATCGTTTAATATTTTTATCAAGGTACGTTACCGTTCAATTTGCAGTGTAATTAACAATAATTCATCATCACGGACTACTGCATTTCAAATCATGGACGGCTTAGTAAGAGATGTGGCAACAGCACGACTCACGAAGACANACGTGAAAGTAATCAGTATCAATGTATCAATATTATTAAGTAATAAATATAGTTGTTATTAATTACTCTGCAACAAAATATGATTTTTATAACACGTGGATAAAGAGACTATTTTCGGTACCTATAAAGTGGACCGAAAATAGAGATTTTTGCCCTAAGGCCGGAAAACGTAAGCCTCAGGGCCGTCATATGCCATTGTTGATCCACTTTATATTCGGCCATATTGAGCAATCCTTGATGTACAATGTACTATTGTATATTTTTATAATCCTTTGCATAATTATCTTATCTAAAATAAATCTAACACTTCTGTCTTTGATAAATTGTTAGTAAATTGGTTTTGTACCAAATGAACGCAACGAAAATATATACTTGACACTATTTTCCATTAGCAACTAATGTATTCATAATGGCATTTGTATATGATAATGTGTAAAAATTTAATCAAAGAAACTGATCAAGCTAACTGCTTGTAAAAAGCAAAAAAAAACAGCATAAGATATAATTATCGAATTATATATAAAAAAACATGAAACAACAGAAAGTGCTATGTCACAAGTGACTTGACATAAAATGTTTTTATCTTCAATGATACTGCCCAGTGAAGTGACAGCTATCAAGAGATAAATATAATCTATAATTAGCCAAACACACTTGTGCTCCCATTAGTACATATCTTCTACTTATCAGTAATCGAAGTCATCCGAATATAAATGAAGTACAGTACCACTCTACTCCAGTCGAACTGCTCACGTAGCATAGGCAATTAGTCCTTTAAATCGAAAATGATATGTACAGT